CTCGCCAGGCTAAAGCTGTATCTCTCTGAACACAGGGATAAAGGTCAGACCTACCCGGAAATCGTTCGCATATGGTGCAGCATAAATTATTGTATAAATTATGACCATCGATTGAGAAAAATTGGTTTTCTTTATGCAAAGGTCCTTTGTCGCCTCAAATTAGTAAGTTTGTCTCCATTATAGATACTTTTGTATCTTCCACGCATAAAAATTGAGTGTTCTTTCTTACGATGTTGGAGTTGTGGCCCAATAATTTCATTAAACATAATCTTTCATGTTTTTACAATTTAACATTCTATTTGACCATTCTTCCTGCATTGAACGTAAACCTGGGTCTCGGAATTAGGTTATTGCAACCTTTGGGAGAATAGATATCAAATTGCAATTGGTCCAATACGGGATCTAGGGTTTCTATTCATAATACAGTAAATATTAATATTAGTATTAGTATTAATATTAATTCGAATTAAAAAATTTATTCGAATGATTCGTTTTGTCTGTTTTATTTGAATCACTTGTTTTATTCGTTTTATAAAATATAAGCCTTATTTCTTTAACAAGATAATATAAATTACAATAATTATATTTATAATTTATATCACTACTACTATTGTTGCTAGTAATATGGCTTAACTACTATTTGTTGTTATTATCACTATATACAAGGACTAAATGAAAATATATTGATAAAGAAAAAATTTTAATTGGATTAGTGATGTGAAAGAATAAAATAAAAACCCATAATTTGTTAGAAACCAAAAAATTTCATAATTGAATAAAATTTTAGAAGGCTTTATTATAGAGGAAAGCGTGATTTGATAAGCAAAACACAACTTTAAATTCATTACTTCTCAGAATCTTTATATCTTTTATCTTTTTGTTTACTTCCACCATCATTTCAAATCCTATGTCACTTTTGTTATTTCTGCTACTATTTTTCTGCTGATTCTTTACGTAAGGTTGAATTTCATATCCTTTCACTAATTTCTTTAATTCCAACACCATATCATGTCTTTGACATTCTGTCTGATTTGCTCACGTTCCCCAAAAAATTCTTCCAAATAAGTTCCAACTTTTGATGTCATATATTTTTCACTACCATTTTGACCATGTTTATGAATAATATTATTATAATAAATGGCAGGTAAATACTTATAGGATGCATTGGATCATTATTATCATTATTTATAATTTCTAACTTATTCTTATCTATGAAAGATCGCTTGAATATTATCTCAATTGCAGAATCAACTTGAACTATAAGAGAACTCAATAAATTATTAAACAACAAGGTACAACTAAAACGATTGAATCTTTGGAGCATTATAATTTAATAGTTAAATTATAATTTATTATCATCATAATTATCTTAAATCTGCTTTAGTGTTATTAACTTATTAACTCTAATAATATTATTATTTGAACGATGGTATAACAGTTGATTATAACAGTTGATTATAATGAGTAGCAGACATAAGGCTTTTGAATAATATGACGATTTATTTCATTCATTCATGTTAACTATGGAAGTACATTTATTTAATATATATAATAATTAATAATCGTACCAATTATTTCTTAAAAAATAGATCTATATAACTATCAAAGTAATTCAACAAAATATTCTAGTTATAGTATTTGTTATTAATTATATTAATTTTTGTTTCAAAAAACAAATATACAGTTATCTAAAGAAAAGTAATTAACTGGGGGGGGGGGCAAATATCTAGCATAATACTATTATTAAAAGGTAATGTATTATCATATTATTTTTTTTCTTTTTCAAAAGGAAAAAAATGGACCTGACAGTGTAAAGAAAGGATTGCTACACAACGCGACCATCAAATTATTTATTATCACTGGTATAATTTGTTTATATTTTTATTGTGTTCGATTAATTGTTTTATTGTGACTGAAACTTTTGTACGTAAATAAATAAAATGAACAAAAGAATTGGTAAAAATATTTTTAAAGAGTGTTTATTTTATTTATCATCTATTTACATTATATAATAGGACCAGGAAAACTATTGAATGTGACCAGTACTTTAAAAAAAAAGAGAGAAATATCATTATAATTTTTCAATATTTTAGTTTTATTTCAAACAAACATAGCCTGACCTGGTATTATTATTTCCGCTAACAATACAGTAATAAATTTTGAGTTTTAACCAGCGGCAATAAGTTGACGTTTATAGTTAGTTTAATTAGTGAAATTGAATTATTAAATGTAGATATTAATATGGAAATCCTAATACTAATTATAAATCAACAAATCGGCTAACTATATTAATATATTAATTAATTTTTTTGGCCTGTCATTTCTGTCATTACCCCTAAAAAAATAATTCCGCAATAATAATGATGTCAACGTAAATAAATAATAAGGAATTTAATATATATAATAAGGAGAACGCACGGACATATATATTCATTATTTATTATAAACAAACAAACAAAGGTCCCTGAAATTTGTGTGCGTGGGAAATTCAATTTTGTATAGTATAGATTATTATTCATATTATAAATTAATGTATAAATAATGTCCGATTTTTCTCTCGATTAGAGAGAAAAATATGAAGAAGAAAATTAAAAAATTAATATTTATAAATACAAAATTTCCGTTTTCGCTCATTTTAACCAATAAATCATGGTATAAAATATCCAAAGACCCAAAAACAAGAGCAAGTTGGATCATTAAAAACCACGGCAAAGCAATTTCGTTTTTTTATGCAATTCGCTACAGTAATAACTTTATATCATTAGAACTAGTTGATCTCTTGATAAGAGAACATGTGGTTTTGTCTAGATATCTCGTGCAGCGATTATTATTACAATTCGGGAAAATTGACGATAGTTTAATTAAACTAAAAATACAAAATGACATCAACCTCAACAACAACAATGATAATAATGACATGGATCAAGGAATATCTAAAGCTTCTCAAAAATATTATAGAAATTCTTGGGCCTCAAATATTCCAGTAGCGGTATTTGTAGCTTTGTTAAAAGAAGCCAAATTACAATATGGTGAAAGTCTTTCCTTAAAAGGTAACGACATTGAAACGTTTCATTTTTTAACAGGGGGTTCCTTGTCTATAGACTTGGCTCCAAAAAGGTTGATGGGAAACCTGGAAAAGATAAAGGATCTTATATTAAATAAAAAGTTTATACCTTTCCCCCCAAGACCAGCAATCCCATTTGAAGATTCAATTGATTACCAAATAGAAATGCAAATACTAAATCGTAAAGAGTATCCAGCTAAGGATGGATTTGAAAATAATAAGCAATTGAACATAATTGCAAGAGCAATATTAATCTATCCTGAGATAATAGAATTCTGGAAACAAATTGGTTACCATGATATATGCAAAGATGTCAATAATTTGGTTTTACAGGGTTCTTTGTTAATTTTATTTTACCCAAATTATAAAAATGAAGAAGCTTGTGATTATCCAACTACAATGGACTTTGTCAAACGTATACAACAATTAATAAAAGTTGGGTTCAAATTGACAAAATCTGTCATGACTGATATTCTAATTTTGTATGAACAACATATTGATAAAATTGGAATAACACTTTTAGAAGCCTTTCAAATTGTTAGGAATCAATCAAAATCTGATATTGTTGGATGTTGTGTTGTAGAAGCTATTAAAGTTAATAGAAATTTGAAAAAACCTCAAGTTTTAGATTTTC